CAAACACTCATATCCACTGAACCATCTCCCAAACCCCCAAGTTTTCTTTATTAAAATTGTTCAGTTGTTAATTTGCTGGCTTTGAAAGATTGTCTTCATTTAAGGGAGGAGCCATATTATACAAGAGCTTTTTGCCAACAACAAGTCTCAATGGGGGAGGGTGGCTGCCAGACCGAGATACGCCAGAGCCTCTGACCATCTGCTCTGCTAAGGGACCTGAACCAATCCAATGTCCGCTCTCAGGATCTGACCTGAAGCGCACAAGGAATTCTCCAGGTGCTAGAACAGCTGCCTCGAATAGCTGAGTTTACAATGACGGGAACACAGCGTTGAGAGCCACAGTTTCCTGCTGGTTTCCTTGACCCATCTGGATCTTAACCCCCTCCCTGTTGACTGTGTCCTGTTTGACTTCTGAATCCCCCACCACTTTATTATTCCATCTGTATTTTAAAACCCCACCCCTTCGCTTGAGCTACTGAAGCTTAGTAACAGAAGGACCCGCTGGTCCTTGATTCTGAGTCCAATTGTCTCTGTACTTCACCGTATCTCTGGGCCCTGCCTTGCTGAGAGAGATCCTGGTTTGGAAGTTTGCTTGACCTCTGGCTTTTACTATTTCTTCTCTACTCTCCCAGCTCTAAGTCATGACATAGCTTATTTTGAAATCTCTACCCATCCTGGCCGAGGCTGGCACACTCTCCATTCCAGCTCGGAAGCAACTGGCCCTCGTCCCTGTGGCTACTTAACCTTGGCCCTGCTAGTCTTTGTCCATAGGTGAGGACTATATAGCTCCCCCAGCAAAATGTCTCAGGGGACAGGAGAGGGAATGTCCCATGTGGGCTTAAAAGGAACCAATTATGTACTCCTACTTAATATGTTCCTCTCCAAGTAAAATGATTTCCTGGTGATCAAGTGCTTTCATCCGCATAGTCACAACACAATGCCAGAAGGCTCAGGAAACAAGAAAAAAACAGTCACCAAACTATCATCATTGCTGTGTATGTGCAATGTGTGTGTGTGTGTGTGTGTGATATGTATATAACACTCATGAAGATGAGCACTTACAAAGAACACCCAATTTGCTTAAAATATTTTTTAAAGTCCAACCATTTCTCACTGCTCCATAGTAAGCCTTTTATTAATTTCTCGGTGCTCTCTTGAGATACTTTTGTAAGTAGCTATTTCTGAATTTCTCTAACACTGACAAACTTCCTTTTGAAAGGCACTTCTTCCCTTTTCTTTGGAATGGAGGCTGTATGAGGCACACTTCTTCTACATATCTGTATATTCACACTGCCCCCCCCCACACCAGATCTTAAAAACAAAAGACACCCCTGAGCTGGGTGTGGAGGCCCACATCTCCACCCCTAGCGCTCATTTGGAAAGCTGAGGCAGGAGGTTAGTGAGTTCCTAAGGAGACTAGATTAGCTAGCAAGAGACACTATCTGAAGTCATCTAAACCGTTTCTCTCTTGTCTAGAAGACAACTGGCTGTGCCCTATGCAAGGCTATCTGGGTTTGACACTCGCTGTCATCTGGGTCCCAGCCCACAGCTAAGCTCCCGTTGGCTTCCAAGTCTGGAAACGCAGGAACGCTCATGTCTGGCTAGGCGGCTGGGGAGCTGGTCAGTTGGACATCTAAGGGGTAAGGGCAAGAGGGTAGCGCTGGGCTTTAGTTAAAGTTGGAGATATTGGACGATGAAGTCAACGTAGGTAAGAGACAGCTCCTAGAGAAATCTGCTCTCAATAAGGCCGGAACCCCAGCCAGGTGCTGCTGGTTACCTCATCCTGCCTACAAGGCCCAGGCCTGACAAGCTGGGATTAATCCCATCCTTTTTGGCTGGAGGCAGGGAAGCCACCTCATTTACTAAGGCCTGTCTGTTGTCAGCACTTTGTCATTGGTCTGTTGGCCTGGCTCTGTGCATTTCCTGGTTCCGGGATATTGCTATGTGCCACAGGGGGCCTTCTCTTACCCTCTCTCGGCTCCTGGTCTCTGATCCTCAAAGCCAAATTTCAGATAACATTGGGGTAGACCAGTTTCTTAAGGCTCTAGGATTGGGGTTCTACAAAGTACCATGCAAGATTCTCAAATAGGAGAAAGGAGGAGAGATCTTCAGGGAAACAAGATAAGAAATGGTGGCTACCACCTAGAGCTAGCTAGTAGACTACCCTGAAGATTCAAATTTAGCCTCTATGGGCCTCTAGGGAAAGGAGACAAAATCTCTCATCTCATTTGGACATCTTAACGCCTACAGGATGGAAGAACGGCATGCTGACAGCCGTGCCAGGGGAGGCCAAAGAGTCGAGTTCCTTCCTTAAAGGTCAGGGTTATTGAAACAAAGGAACCAGAACCAGAAGCAAGGCCTCATCTTGGAGCTCTTGAGTTAAGAATAAGCTAAGAGTATCTCTTTAAATGTGCCAGCTCCTCAGAGCCCATGAGTGTCTAGATGGGGTGAACAGATGAAGGGCTTTTCGTTAAGAAGGGAATGGTGCTATTTTGGGGCGTCCTGAGATTTACCCAGAGAACGCCTTCTTAAGGTTTGGAAACCCTTCTGGCAGCATCTCCCTAGCCTCCTCCCCAGTCCTACCATGCTATTTGCATTCCACTTCGTCAGCGGTTTCCCCACCCCCACCTCCCTCAGCCCACCACATTTCCAAGCCACACAACAGACACCCAGGCCATGGGGAGCTGGTGGAAACCCTTCTCATGTCCATCTCTAAGCCATGTCTTGTCTCATTGGAGAATGACTAACCAGGAATCATGCTACCGTGAATGACAAATGGACATAACTGTATGCACTTTCAAGAAAAGGCCTATAGAACAGAGACTACCCAAGCTAGATTCTGGAACTTTCTATGACACACCTCCAAACCAACCTATTCTACCTGCAGAGAACAGGAAAGGACTGGGACCAGTAGTCCCAGGAACCAGTGAGAACTGGGAATACCCCCACTGTCAGGAAATACAGTCTCAGGTCTCCTTTAAACCCTTCAGTCTGAGATGGGATCCTTTATCTTCTCTCTTTGATGCAAAAATGAAAAGCTTAGGGCAATCTTTTGATTTGAATGTTTTAAAATACACATTCTATTGACTTTCAAATATGGTAATAAGCCCAAACTTAACCTGTAAACCAGTCAAGTACACTCTTCATGTGTTCTAAGATCTAGCCTGCGTTTTCTCTTTTTACCCAGAACTTTGCCTTTATGTTTTTCATTAAATGATTTTAATAGAATAAAAGTTTCCAGCCCGTGGCTTCATTGAGCTTTATTTACCTCCCTATTTGGGGAAATGTATCCCAGCTCATTCTCCACAGGAAGGAAATGGCACCAAGAATTGCCTAAAGTTCACAGTGAGCTAAACTCCCTCACTCTCTGTGTAGCGAACACATACGGTGTTATTTTAGAAAATGTGTTTTTGTAGTGATTGGGTGTGGGGAGCTCATGAGGGGGATGGGAGAAACTGCCCTTTGGGGGACTCCAGGGGATGCTGGCTTCAAAATGGAATTTATCCTCACATCCAAGATTATAGATTTTCTTCCGAACTGCATTCCCTACATGGTGTAGAGAACACTTAAGAAATTGCTCTTCATGTTTTGATTGACACTAAAAACCCTGTGAAAAGTTTGGAACTTGATGTCTCCCGGGGAAGGACAATAGTCAAATAGAGAGTTGGTCTGCACCCTTTCTCACTCTTACCCAGAGCTGTTCCAGGGGAGGAAATTCACTCTGCTCTCATGCATCCCTTCTCAAGAAATTAGCCCAATACTTATAAACACAGGACTGCTTAGTCCAAACCATCATAGTCTACGGCATAGCATAAAATGGAAGCAGTCATCCGGAGCTCCTCGTCCTTAATATATGATATTATTTTTTAAATGATCAGACTCATTCTTCCTTTTGCAGGGCCCCTTGTCTTCAGTGAGTTCTAGCCATGCGTGTCTGGTTTTTGCCTAACACTAAGGGGCTGCACTGTTTCCGTTTACAACTCCATATACACAGCCTTAGTACCAGGAGGGATCTGTGAATGCCAAGCACTTTGTTCTCTGCTTTTTTGACCATGTATTGCCACAGCACTGAAACTCCCCCGCCCTTTACAACCAGCTCTTTCTAAAAGGAATTACCGACTGATACCAACTTGCACTACTGTTTGAGATGCCCAAATACGTCTGTCTGGAAATAAAAGCCCCTCTTCTTCCTTTCTGGAACGTTCTCCTCACGGACATCTTTTCTGAGCCTCTGGGCATACCTTCCTACAGAAATGAAGATTTCTCAAGAAATATTTTGGTGGGACGTTGACCATGATTTCTACATACACACCCACACATGCATGCATTCTCTTGCTGCTCAGTTTTATAGAAGACAGACTCAGTAAGCATCTTCTGCCTCAGCAAATCGCAGCTGAGGGCCACTGGCTCCGTCGGTGTTAGTGTAGAACTCTGATCTTATTTCTTTTTTTTTTTTTTTATCTCTGAAAGCCCAGTTCTAAAATCCTAGTAGCAAAGTAACAGAAATGTATTTAGCTAAGAAAAAAAAAATCACTCTTTGTCTTAACAATATCAAAAATTGTTGCTGTTATTTTTTTAAGCGAAACCTGAAACCTATTTAAATGTCTGCTGGTAGAAGATGGAGAAGAAACTGCCTGAGGGGCGGACCAGCAGAGCTCCCTCGCGGGCACTATCCTGGGGATACCAGGTATACAGTCAAGGTCCCTCTTGAAAACAAAATCGCATCCTGGGCAAAGGCACGCATGCTCCCTGAACATGTCACTATAAGATCTTTCCTCTTGTCCCATTTCTAGAAACAAAACTTGAAGTTTCATCACATTGACCTTCTGGGAACATCCGCAGGTCAGGGAAGTCCAGGCTGGCTTTGGGAATTTACACGGTCTGTTGCCTGCCTGGAAAGGGTTTGCATATCCAGCACCCTTTCCCTGGAATGTTGCCTGAAACCTGCGGAGCGGCTCCCGCTTCCCTGAAGGCGGAAAAAGAAAGACCCTGTGTCCTACCTCTCAGGCAGCAGCTTCTTCCCAAGGAGGAGATCGTCGAGCCCGCCGCCGTCAGAAAGGAAGCAGAGGTCCCTTTAAGCAACACAGCAAGAGAGCAAGCAGCTAGGCAGGCAGACCGCCTAATGCACACTGCTCTATTCAATAAAACTGCAGACCGCCCTTCCTTGGCCCCTCCCAGAAGTCCATGCTAAGTGAACACATACCCCTATGTTTACAGTCAGCAGGCGGTGGTATGCATTGTGCTGTAGTTTTTCTAATAGGCAGCCAATGACGACACCCCGGCCAAGGTGATGCTGTCTGCCCGTGCAGATGCCTGTCATTCCCTAGGCATGCTCAGGACATCACTCATCAGAAAAACCAAGTCCTAAAAAGCTTGAAACTGTGAGCAGGCTGCCAAAACCAGCCCGCTCCATGCCCTTTTTTGGTGATCCTAAGCAGGGCCTCCTGGAAGTGAATCCATTGTCAGGAACAATCATAAGAAACGTTAATCTTGGAGAAGGAGGATGTCTCGTAGAACACAAATAGAGCTTTAAAAAGAAAGTACAGTTCATGAAACACGAAGTGGACAGTCAGTCGTACTTATGGGGGTGAGATTGGGGGTGGAGTCGGGGAGACGTTTGTAGTTGAGGAAGCCTTAATAGCGTATTTCTTTTCAAAGTAGTTGCATTACAAAATGAATTTAAATCATTCTGCAAGTTAAAAACCTGAAGCGGATAAGACTCAGGTCTGCTGTCCAGGCTAAGTTCTAGCCAAGAATATGTCTGTGTTAAGAAAACAACTGACAGAAAATATAGATAAAATGTATCAGTTGTTTTAGTAGATAATGTTGGCCAGAATAAAGGGAGGGTGAGCAGTTTGGTCAGATGGGATCCTAAGGTTTACATAGCTCTGCTGGTTTTCCCCATCGACACCCACCTTCCTCTGGTTCCTCAGTCTTAGCAATGGGGAGATTGTACTAGAAATGAAGGTGCATGGGGAGACCAACACCTGCTTTGGGGCAGCCATAGCCGGGCACATATGCGCTCACAGGTGATACAGATGTTCTGGTGAGTTCTAGAAAGCCTGTGCTAAGGGAGAGTCATCCTTCAGAGCTGCTGAACTACAACGCAGGTCACTGGCCCACACATGCATCCAATTGTGGTCTTGTATTTTTTGGAATCCAGTCAGTACTTACTTTTTAAAAAAATTGGAATACTTACTGTTTGTCAGGCCTGGGGCTAAGCACAAAAATCCATGTTTCATTATGAGTATGTGTTTAGACCCTGTCTCATCATTGACCAAGAAGCTTTAAATATTTTCCCTGGCTAATTACAAATCCAGAAGCTTAATCAACACACACAGTCTTACCGAAAAGCCCTTCTCTATTCATGAAGCTCTGACATAGACGGTGTCTCTATTTAGGAAGCAGCTCCTGCCCTTTCTGCTTCCTTGGGAACACTTGGGAAGCAGCTGGGCCACACCAGTAAGTTTCTTCTTCAGCCCTGAGTTGTTAACCAGTCGCCCAGAAATATCTACATGGACTCCCTGTGCTATAGGAAGGCAACATACCTCCTCTGCTCTTCCTGCTTTCTTCTACTATACAGGCCCAAAAAGCGACAGCAGAGACTGCTGGGCCCAGGGAGATGTGGGCCTCAAGCATTCTCAATCATAACTCAGAATGTACTTCCCCAGACACAAAATAAATAACTGTTTGGTGGGAATCATGCTGTCGGTATTGCATTTCAAGTTCACAGTAGCTCAACCAGGCATCACTGAACACAACTGTTTACAAAATTGTTCTTCTGGGAAAATCTTTTCAGATCCCAGATAAATGATTTGAAAATAAACTTTTTTTTTTTTTTTTTTTTTTTAACATAGCCAGTTTTGCAGCTAGGGAAGTTCTGTATCTGGTATCTGGCACAACAGGTTGAAAAGACAGAATAATACTTCTTAGTCTGGCAAAAGGATGAACTTAAAGACAATAGCAGACAGATATCAGGTTCTTCAAACATCTCAGTCACATCAATATGTCCTCTGCCCAGAGATTTTCCTGGATGCATGCTAAAAGCCCGGATCATGGAGGGCTGTGTGAAAGGGCTATTTTCCATCCCTGGTGCAGATGACACCCTAAGCAACATGTTCCCCACTGATGCCAGGAATGCACCTTGGGTGATGAGCAGCAGGGCAAAATTCTGTAGTTTATGAGGTTTTTTCATTTTTAATTAATTCATTTATTTAGTGCTAGCTTTCCAGAGGAAAGAGAAGTTGTGCTACAAAAGGGAAAAATATTATCAACAGGAAACATGGAAGGGATGTGCATTTCATATGGTTTGTAGAAGATAAGTAGCTGAATATTTTGGGTTATGCCTTTTGGGGGAAAGAAGTATGCTTCCTTAGATAAGTCCTAGATATTTCATCTATGGAGTATAGCACATGGAGAGCCATAATGTTCAATCTGTATATCTGAAGGAGAGCTCCTGTGGAACTATAGGTTGGAAGAATAATTCAACACATGTCATGTAACAGAAAACAAATCTTTCTTTGTCTCTAAAAAAAGCAGAAGTGTTTAAAAGGAATGAAAAAAATCATGCTTGCATATTGCCCAATCTCTGCCATGGGAATCTCACTTTCATAATATTTATTTTTTCCAAAGGTCATTTGTAAACAGCACTAAAAATACTTTTAAAAACATATATAAATATAGGATTTATGTAGGAAATTTCTGTGGAATATATTTCCACCAGGATCATCCCAGATAAAGAACAGCTTGTCTATCACAGGACCTGGTCAACCATAATGGATATAAAGAGGCCTTTAGAAACATTTCCATGACTCTTTACATGTTTTTTCTTCTTTGGTTCCTAGAACTTATTGTCATATTAATCAGTAGCTAGCAACTATATTTTGTTCATTGTTTGAAAAGTAAAAACAGACATGTTTTTTCATTCAAAACAGGAATCTACTTCCTTTACTTCATGAAAAATAGACATAATTCCAACTTTTGAGAAATCTACTTTATTGAACAGACAAGATTTTTTTTTAGCACTAAATACCCCTTTCCACATTCATTTAGTCAAATGAAATCTTTCCAGATGCCCAAGCTTATAAACTCATAAAATTAGAATCTTGGTGTCAAAATTAGATTACAAATTATACACACAAAGTACACATACATGCATAACCACAAAAAGACTGAGTGAGTAAGAGTTTAGACTATCTGCACTTATGAAATTAAAGTTTAAAAATTAGCAAATTTTATCCAACAGAATAAAAAAGAATCAATGTAGAGATGGTCCAAAATCTGAAAATCTTTTGATATAATATACATTAGCAGTTTAAATGTTTAAGAAAGAAAAAAATCATCATATAAGATAAAGGATAGAGCCGGGCGTTGGTGGCGCGCGCCTTTAATCCCAGCACTCGGGAGGCAGAGCCAGGCGGATCTCTGTGAGTTCAAGGCCAGCCTGGGCTACCAAGTGAGCTCCAGGA